AAAAAAAAAAAAAAAAAAAACATGTCATGCAGAATAATAAGAGAGTAGACTAACAGTGTTTGCCTCAGTGGCGCACCATAATTCTTTAGAATCTTTACTCAATTAGTAAATTGAAAATAAAAAATGAAATTAAAAAAGGAGCTCTTTTTTCAAGTGGTCGCGAGCCACTCTGGTAGCCTGGTTGCCCAGTGATTTTTCTGATACTTCGACGGGTATTTAGGAGGGAGTGCATCTCCGTCTCCACTGCTCTCCACATGCAGAAAAGACAAAACAATATGGCGGTGTATCTGTCCATTTTCTAGCAGAAGATTCATTCTCATTTTGCACATTTGTGAGTAGTGGAGCGAGGCCCTACCAGTGTGCACGATTCGTTTTTTTTTGCCGACAAACACTCGTCAGAAAGCATCGCACCAATTTCGTATCCGTCATAAGCTACAAGAATTTTAATCTGTTGACGAAAGCTGGTGACTTTGACATGGTGTGAAACACAAGTTACGCGAGCGAGAATAACCTTCTTTTTTATTTTCCTTTTGTGCTTTTGTGTGGGCATATCACCAGCTTCGGCCCGCGGCGCGGCACGGGCGTCTCTCTCTCTCTCTCTCTCTCTCTCTCTCTCTCTCTCTCTCTCACACACACACACACACACACACACACATTCATGCTTCCCCCGCATGGTTCTCCTCCACACACAAGCGCATGTGCATATGATCAATTGTGAACGAACATATACAGATGTCGAGGCTTCACACTGATGGCTAGATCTGCTGTCTACCAATGGCAAAACAATCATCTAACAGACAGAGACCATGGAAAGGCTCAATTGTGCTACACGCCGATTTCAGCAAAACTGCTGCGAGTTCCAGTTTCATACATCTCTCCATGTGCAATTCCGTATCTTCCAACATAACAGAGGCAACCTCGCTCTTCCCCAAAAGCCATATCATGCCCCAGAGTCTACACGATACCCATCGTAAGTTTCACAGTTACAAACTCATTTGTACTGTTCTTTCAGTGTACAGCAACCGAGTACTCGTGTCAAACTCATCCGCACCGCATGTTCCCAAAAGTACCACATAATTCTCAACAGGCTCGCAAGAAGGAATCGTCAACATTCGCACAAATTCACTAAAAGCGCATAAATAGAAGACGGAAAAGATCGGAAGAAATGACAGACGACAAGATAGTCTAACCAGGACTTTCAGGAAGAGGAGCTCGCAAATGATTGCTGTACGACTAGATTCGCTGATTCGCAAGACACAAACACAGTCGGATGTCAAGTGGGACAAATGCAGCACACGCTCCCGAGAAAGCCACAAGACAGCAGAGAGACGTAGACACGAAAGAGAAAAGGGGACAATTGTAAAGTTGCTCGACTGCCAAGAACAGAAAAGAAAAGACAAAAAAAAGACCCTTCCATTCCGCCGCTGTTTCTGCTGTTGCTACTGCTACTGCTTCTGCTACTGCCGCTGCTCCTGCTAAGTTTTCCTGTTTCCTACTTTCCGCAGGTGATGTCGTTATCGGGTACGGGACTTTCCGGTTAATGTACTTGACCTTGATGCATGCTTACGTGCGTTATTGTTTCCGCTCAATGTACTTGATGTTCGCGTGCTCGACAAGCCAGTTGAGAACCTTGGTACCCTCTAAGACTTCCTGCGCCTGTTCCCGGATTCTCTGCTCATCATACTCCTGGTTATATCGCTTGAAATCTGCGACTGCGCCCTCTACTTCAGCGTTCAGCTCTTCGTCCGTCACTGCCAGCCCTTCCCGACTAAACACCTCGCTAACGGCGAACGATTTCTTCACAGCTTCTGATATCTGTGCCTTCTGCGCCACAAGAAAGTTTTGAACCATCTCCGCTGCCGATAATTGCGTCACCTGCTCTTTGGAAAGTCTTCCGGTCGCCTGCATTTCCAGCAGCTTTGCTGCGTACATCTGCCGACCTTGCTCCTCGAGCAACGAATGGGGGATCTCCGCAACACACACCCTGCCAAGCTCATCAGCAACCGCCTCCTGCGCCGCGCGTTTCTTCGCGTCCTCCGCATTCTTCTGGTACTTGCTCAGCAGCGAAGATCGCACTTCGTCGATCGTCGTGCAGCCTTCTACAATTTTCGAAGCAATGGCATTGTCCAGTTCTGGAACCTCGCGATAAAACAGTTCCTTGAGGTCTACAGTAAACAGGGCCTTGACTCCCTGCAACACCGAAGGCTCCCATTTAGCTGGGAACGTGAGGTTGAACTCGCGCGTCTCCCCTCTTCGCAACCCCTTGACGGCGTCGAGGAACCCGGGGAGAACCTCAGCTTCGGACGTGTCGAGCTGGAAACCCTTCTGATCGACAGAGAGGATCTTTTCCCCAGGCGTCCCGTCTTCAGCCAAACGACGTGCAGAGACGTCGAGAATCGCCACATCGCCAACGGCAAGGGCGCGATCAGGAGCTATCCTTAGCGTGCCTAAGTCCTTCTGCCGTGACCTGAGCTCTGCATCAGCAGCAGCCTGGACGGCTTCCGGGCCATCCACCTCAACTTCGACGCTGAGGAACTTATACGCGTCCTCGAGGATCCATGAGACTTTGGGCAGCACGTCCACGACCACCTCATAGCTAAGTGGCTTCAGTCTATCGTATTCGTTGTGCAGATCGTCGATCTTCGTCACGATGTGCTCAGAGTCCTTCAACGAGCGCCCTGCAACGGAAGACATCGCCTCGGGAAGCGTGCGCTTTAGAACTGATTCCACTGCCGACGCTGAGATGACTCTGGGCCCAACAAAGTTCACCAGCAACATGTCCGGGACATACCCTTTCCGGAACCCTGGGACCCTGGTCCGTTTCTTCAGCTCTTTCAAGACCTCATCATACGCCTCCGCGCAGACTGCCGCAGGGACCGTGATGTGCAGTCGCACCCGCGAATTAGGCTCCTCCAACTCCACCACTTCCAATCCCAGCGAGCCACTCGGTGCTGGAGGGGAAGCGGTATCAGCTGCCGCAGCAGCAGAAGTGGACGCTGCCGGCGTTGCCTGGGCAACCGCAAGCCCCACCGATCTCCTCCCCCGTCGCAGTCGAGGAGACGACATATCGCTCGTCCTGCGGAGGCAACGATTGCCATCTTCTCTGCAAATGCCACGTTCACACAGGCATTCAAAACCATACGACGAGTCGAAGATCGGGCGAGAGAGGAAAGTAGAGGAGCACTTCTTCGTCGAAGCACATCCGCACACCTCCCGACCAGCAGTACCTGAGCCATTCCCCCCCAGCTTAGGCGGAGAAGATAAGGCCAGACGGCTGTTGTGGCCATTCGCCCAGAGCGGTAGCTTCGTTAATCTAATAACAGAACTCCCAGCCGCACGACATGGGCGTAAAGGCAACACCTTTGCCTGGTCTGTGACGTGGCACCCCCTCACCGCAGCCTGGAATGATGAAACCGCCATGCTGGCGACTGGAATCTAGTCTACGCACTGGCGTTTTCCAGAAGAAGAAAAAATCAGGCAAACAACTGAACCGCAAGTAAGGAACAATGAATGAATGGCCGGTCCTATCTCTACCGTAGTGAGGGCATGAGCAAAATACACTAGGGGGTAAGAAAAAAATGAGGGCATGAGCAAAATATTCGGTGGTAATCCCCCGCCCGCCTGCCAGTAAGGGTCATCAAAAGGTTGAAGTCAAAAACATTAGGGGGTAAGAAAAAAATTGTTGGGCGGGGGGCGGGGGGCGGGGGGCGGGCGGGCGGGCGGGCGGGCGGGGGAGGATGGAGCGTGTAGTAGAATCAGAAACGTACGAAATAAGACGGTCCTCGCCGATGAGAACGACAAGAGAAAAAATAAACTGCACATAAAAATTCAGCCAAACGAACAGTACACACCGCACAAGTGATTTAGACATACTCCTATTACTATAGAGCAACAACAACAACAACAACAAAAAGTGAAAACGGAATGAAATTTCAGCAGGCTCACCCCTGCAAATTATGTTGCGCACCCCATTTTGCCCGCCCAGATCTGGGCACGAGCAAAAATTCATGCTCCTCCTGGACTGAGGCCCTGGGGAACCACCTACAGGTATCCCTTCAGTTGGATACAGATTGGGTATAGATGCAAGTTGGGTGCTGGGAGTGGGGTTACAAAGAGAATTCTCATCTTTAAATGAGGTCCAGATCTAGGATACCAGAGTGGGCTCGGACCGATTACATGTACGGCGTCAAACAGAGAGCTGCCCGGTAAAGTGTAGGCAGAGAGGGAGGGAGGGAGGGAGGGAGGGAGGGAGGGAGAAGAGGACAACAACAACAAACGAGGAGGGGCTGTGACAAACTGTTTCGTCGGAGTTTCACCGACCGACTCATCAGGAGGCTGTATATATATTGTCACACCGTGTATCGGAGCGCAGAGGGGAAAAAAGACAAAACAACACGTCCCTGTCCCAACAGGTGTCACACGAGACAGTCAGTCAATAATCCAGAATAAAGTACGAGTCCGCAATGCACGCAAAATTTCATTTATGCTGAAAAAATTGGCCTGACTCATCGTCCCACCATCCCACAGTTCCCACTGGCATTGGGCAGCTGCCCGAATGACTGCCGCCATATAATGCCCGGGTCTGTGCAAAAGGCCGGCAGAAATATGAGGATGGTCATCAAGGTCATCATCGCCTGGCGTCGCATGATGCATAAGAAGAAGCTGGCGACCATGGAACGCTAGCTGTAAGACATTTTTTACAGTATGGCAACAACTGATGGTCCTGAGGTAGAGTATAGTGACTACTCCTCCTGATGAGGTAGAGTATAGTTACTCCCTACCCTCAGGCGGTGGACCGTTATGGAATTTATGGTCATACAACAACTGATTTTCAACAACGTCAAGCTGATAAGCAAACGTAACGGGAATGGGAAGCAGTATGACATTGATGCTGATAAGCCATTGAGGTAGGCAGACATTTGTGGCTGTCAAGCCACAAGCAGTTTTGGGTAGGGGTCTGGCCGCAGATCCGATTCGGTCAGCACTGGAAAGCCGTAGATCAGATCGGTCTGATGTGGCGTGGTCGACGCGTGATTGACGAACGCCGTCGACGTGGCAGAGCAGGCTGTAGGTAAGACAAAGAACCCGGCTATCAGCTGATTAGCATCAACACGATGTCGAGAGGAAGGGGGACTGGAATGAGAAGAGAATGAACGAGCCTGCCGACGTCCCAATAAGGACAACGAAGATAAAGGAGGGGGCGATCTCAGCTGCGTAGGGAAGAAGAAGAAGAAGAAGAAGAAGAAGAAGAAGAAGAAGAAAAGAAGAAGAAGAAAAGAAGAAGAAGAAGAAAGGGATGATGAAGAAGAAGAAGAAGTAGAAGAAGCGGAAGTAGAGGAAGAAGAAGAAGAAGAAGAAGAAGAAGAAGAAGGAGAAGGAGAAGAAGAAGGAGAAGAAGGGGAAGAAGAAGAAGGGGGAGATGACAAAGAAGAGGATGCTGGCAAAGAGGAAGGGGAAGGAGAGGGAGGGGGAGAGGGAGAGGGAGAGAGAGGGGGAGAGGAAGGGGAAGGGAAAGGAGGAGGAGGAGGAGGAGGAGAAGAAGAAGGGGGAAGCGGAGAGGAAGGGAAGATGGACAAGAAGGGGGAGGCTGCGGGGGAAGAGGATGGGAAGATGGAAAACAGGAAGGAGGAGAGGGAGAGGGAGAACTCGAAGGGAAAGAAAGGGGAGGAGAAGGTGGAAGAGGATGATCCACGGACCAGCGAAGCACAGCATCCGGCGAAACCATTGTGCAAGTCGAGTCACATGTATAGGGTGTCGACACCCTAGACATGCGGCAACCATGATTGTCATTGTGTAAGTCGAGTATATAGGGTGTCACATGTATATAGGGTGTCGACTTACACATTGGCCCGAGGATGGATGGACTCCATCCAGCTGGCGAGCACGAGTGTAACTGGATGGAGATCGAGTCCATCCATCCTCGGGCCAATGTCGAAGGAGCATGGCCACGGGTTAAGCAAACGGGGGAGGACAAGCATGGTGGTTGCCGCAGAGTTCTGAAATCAAATAATATGCCAACTGCCACAAATCTATCTGCAGCTTACGTAGGCTAGCCGGTGCACACACCTGCAGCTCACGTAGGCTAGCCGGTGCACACACCTGCAGCTTACGTAGGCTAGCCGGTGAACAGACCTGCAGCTTACGTAAGCTAGCCGGTGCACACACCTGCAGGCTGATGAGATGGAATGGAATGTTTGACGTTGCGCTAGGGCACATCGTATAACAGGAAAATCCGATGCAACGGTCTTATCAAACACACTCAATCGGAGAGATCGGTCTGCTCGTGCCTGCAGTTTCGCTCCTATCCTAAAAAGGTGCACGAGGAGCCATCAAGCCCCATGGACCATAATAGGCTGGGGATGGTGGCAGGCAACAAAAGGGCAAGGACATCATCAATGAACCGAGATAAGCGAAAGCATCTCGACGGGCTGCAGAGGGATCCACACGCTGCAGGTTGTCCACGTACTATACTGCGCCTCATCCCACCATCCCAACAGAGTGTGAGGTTAGCAATCCCAGGACCAGCGTTTGTACCAATTGGGATACCAACTTCTTCATGACGAACACGGCCATCCGCTGTATATGGATATCGATTTTATTTTATTTTTTTATTTTTTATTTTTTTTAAAAGAGCGACGGTCTTGACATATCATCATCATTGAGCTGACCGGCCCAATTCAGCCAATTCAGAAACATTTGGTTTTACTCATCAAGTTCCCTCATCTAGGTTCGAACCTAGACGGGTTATTTTATAGATATATATGTGTCTTTCAACACTTCAACACTTCAACATTTCAATGGTGTACCCACTGAGCTTGCCTCTTGGGTTATTTTATAGATATATATGTATTACTGTAGTAACAACAAACCGTATATGTTAAAGCATGTCAGACACACAAAGAGTTGCTACACTAATACCCCGCATCCGTACTCCATTCCCCTCCCCTGCACGCGGTCCACGGACAACAATAGGACGCGCAACGCAGGATGGGCGTGTCCGTGTATGCTGCCGTGCCTGTGCAAGAGCATAGGCATCTGCCTCATCAACGGCCTTAGCTTCAACATTGTTGAGAATCCGTCGATGAGAAAGGTTAGTATAGATAGCAGTGAAATCGACAGTATGAGGGGGCAGAACTCCGAGAGAAGCTTTCTATTCTTCTTGAGGTCAAGCATCACCTCGTCACTGCTCTGGCCAATCGATCGAACATCGTCGAATACACCCAGAAGAGGGATTGGGAGGGTTGATCATCTTTTTACACGAAGCGAAGAGTGCTTGCTGGATGGATGACGGCTTGAAGTGCCGCAATCAAACGAGCCGATATATAGTCAAACAGAGCAGAGCTGTCTCGTAAAGCGTAGGTGGCAGGGAGGGAGGGAGGGAGGGAGGGAGAAGAGGACAACAACAACAACAACAGACGAGCGGCTGAAGAGGAGGAGGCTGAACCATATATGTGGCGGCAAACAGAGAGCTGGCCGGTAAACCGTAGGTGGGAGAGGAGGGAGGGAGGGAGGGAGGGAGAAGAGGAGGAGAACAGCAACAAACGAGGGAGGGGGCTGTGACAAACTGTTTCGACGTCGGAGTTTGACCGACCGGACTCATCAGGAGGAGGCTGAACCCTCAACAGTCAGTCTGCAGAATATATCTATTGTCACAAAGTTATCAGAGCGCAAAAGCGAAAGAAAGAAAGAAAAAAGGTTTAAAAAACAAGAAAAACTTTATTCATTTTTAATCTTCTTCCTTACAACTCCCCCTGTTCAGAAAGAACCTCTTTTGCGTACAAGGCCGCCCACGTGGATGCAGGTTGAGCGGCGGCTTCCCCCACCCCCGTGTGTCATATCGACCCACTTGCACACTGCCAAAAGGCAAAGAGGCAAAGAAGAGAGGAAGGGAACAGCCAAATATAACAAAACAGGGGCAAACAAACATAAACAAATCCTAAATGACAAGTCCCGACACATGCAAGCACCGCCCCCTCCCCCTCACAGGCCAAACGACGGGCCAATGACCAACCAGGATATCAATCAACACCCTTCTTGCCCGCAAACAAGCAAGCAATCCTTTGCCCTTAAATTTAAAAAACCTTTCGTCCACTACTACTCACCAGCGACTCTGCGGCAACTCCAAGAATCCTTTGCCCTTA